GAAACCCTCGAAAACTAGGAGCTGAAAGAAACCGCTTGTCTTGTAAGTTCTTCTTGGCAGATATTCTGGTCACAGATGACACAAAAGTAACTGACAGTCACATGTTCAAGAAAACACTGGAGTCCAAGAGATCTGATAAATACCAAAAGCCTGGGCTCAGTCTGTAAAGTGCTCGCTGCATAAGCATGAAGACCCAGGTTCAGAGCCCAGCATCCATGGAAAAGGCACAGCAGTACACATTTGTAACCCTCAGGTCCTGATCTGTTAGCTCCAGTTCCAGTGATACCTTCCTTGTCCCAAACAGTAAGGTAGAACTAGAGGGATGGTTCAGAGGTTAAGAGGACAGCTGCTCTTCCAGAGAACCCAAGTTTGGTTCCTAGCACCTATGCCAGGCCGCTCACAACTACCCATAATCCCAGCTTTAAGAGATATGATGTCCTTTTTAGCCTTTGGAGACATGGACACACACACACACACACACACACACACACACACACACACACACACTACTGACAATAAGAAAAATAAACAACTGAAAACAAACAGGAAAACTAAAAGGTATAGATTTGAACAGATATTTTACCAAACATGATACAGGTGGATGCACTGGCTGGTTTTGTGTGTCAACTTGACACAAGCTAGAGTCATCAGAGAGGAAGGTCTCAGTTGAGGAAATGCCTGTTGTTGGAGGGCTTCTCTCCAGGTTCCCCAAGCCCCGCAGTCCCACAATCCACTTATAAAATAATCATTCAGACACTTATATCACTTATAAATTGTATGGCCATGGCAGGCTTCTTGCTAACTGTTCTTTTATCTTAAATTAACCCATTTTTATAAATCTATACCTTACCACGTGGCTGGTGGCTTACCAGAGTCTTCACATGCTGCTTGTCTTGGCGGTGGCTGCAGTGTCTCTCCCCTCAGCCTTCCGCTTCCCAGAATTCTCCTCTCTCCTTGTCCCACCTACTTTCTGCCTGGCAACCTACTTCCTGCCTGGTCACTGGCCATCAGTGTTTTATTTATATAGAATGATATCCACATCAAATGCCTCCTTGAAATCCAGCTGTAAGACATTTTTTTTTCAATTAGTAATCAATGGGGGAGGGCCCAGCCCATTGTGAGTGGTGCCATCCTGGGCTGGTGGTCCTGGGTTCTATAAGACAGCAGGCTGAGCAAGCCAGGGGAAGGAAGCCAGTAAGCAAAACCTTCCATGGCCTCTGCATCAGCTCCTGCCTCCAGGATCCTGCCCTGTTTGAGTTCCTGTCCTGACTTCCTTCAGTGATAAACAGCACAGGTAAGAACTCCTCAAATATTTGTTGAATGGATAAATGAATAAATCTAAGAGATGAACATTCAGTCATGAAATTTTCAATTCTGCTGTTATGATTTAGCTTTGTATCAGTCCTTCAAGGTAGATTTGAATAATTTAGAATAATTAATTTGGCTCCTGGCACTTGAAAACTGTAGTATTCAGTCTGACATCTTCCTGTGGCCTGCTGGAGCAGAAATGGGATCCAGGAGAGATCAAGGCTTTCTTAGAGTATCACTCTGATGCTTCCCCTGAGGAAGCTACCCAGAGGTACTGCCCCCATGAACAAGAGAGATGCCCCTGCAATACCTTTCTAAGGAGGATTAGCAGCTGGTTCTGGGCATCCTACAGGTTCTCAGTGAGTCTTCTTGGTAAGCCCTACAAGTGAGGGAAACCAAACACAGAGTACAAGCGACACACTCAGTGTCACACAAAGGAAGGTAACACCTGCTGCATCTTAAACTCACGTGTTTGTAGCCTGCAGCCCCATACTCCACCCACTTGGGGTTTTGGAAGCAATGTTTACTCAGGAGAGTAAACATCAGAGGAGCGAAGCAGGATGTGCCAACTCTTAAAAAGAAGAACCAACCTGGATACACAGGTGGCCTGGTTCTCTCTAAAACTTCTCAAAGACTGGCATCATCAAGATGCTGATGACCACAAACATTTAAGTGAGCATCTGCTCTGTAACAGGTCCTGGGCTGGGGTTTCCCCAGATACCATCATTTGATTTTCAAGATTGTCAGAAATACTTTCTGCAAGCATGCAGGTGCTGGAGCTGTTTATACACAGAGAATGACATAAACCTGCAAGCAAAGATGCCCAGGAACTCCTTACTCCCAGCCTTGCTGGCTCATAGCTGACAGTTACCTTGAAGACAAAACAGTATGCTGCCCAGGCAAATCCATGCAGACTTTGCTTTTCTACTTCTTTTAGGCTGGGTCAGTATCTTGGACACTGGTTAGCACAGGCATTGCTATTCGAGGTTACAAACACACACAAAAACTTTGTATAATGCATGTTTTTGTGACAAAAATGTTTTTCAAAGGTACTTTTGACTGTATAGTTCTTCATTTCATACTATGGCCTTGTAACCTAAAGAATAAGATTGATGCTGCTGAACCCTTTTTTAATCTTACTGATGAAAACCCAAGAAATCTGAGGTCTAAAAGGAAAGTTGAAGGCTATAGGGTTCTGTTCATTGCCAGAAATTCTGTCCATTTTGAGTAGAAAGAGCATGCACGGTGGATGTTCCCCCGTAGGACAGCTCTGTCAGCATCTTGCCCCTCTATCTGCTGGCTCTCCTTCTACTTCTACCCGCTCCTGTGAGCTGTGTTCTCTGGTCCTGTAGAATAATGGCAATGCTTCTTTCCTATGATAACCTTTTGCATATCTGGGGCTGCTATCAGGATGGTGCTTTTTTAATAACACAGTGACTGGGCAAAGAGTCAAGTGTCTGTACTTTTTAATGTCTACTTGATGTGTTTTAGGTCTGGCTATACATCTCTGGTCATACAAGGTATTGACGCTTGCCTCCTCATTAGACAGTGCCAGCAACTAATTCTGTCCAACATTTTGGAAGCTATATTCTGGGAACAAATGGCTTAGTTGGAAAGACAAAGAACAGAAAACGTGTGACAAGAGCTGGTACAGTCACATGGAGTACGGACCAGCCACACGTATGGGGAACGTGTCTCAGTCCACCCATGAGGAAAGACTGCTCACCTGGGAGGCAGAGCCCACATGAAACACAGCTTGTTTCCTGAGCCTACTCCAGGACAAGGACCTGGCCCTGCATTATGACTGCTCACTGCGGCGAGTGACTTCACAGACACCTGCCACAATGCCAAGCCTGTGCATCTTCTCTAGTCTTCAAAGTACTAAAGGGCCTGGAAGCAAACTAACTTCAGTTTCACCTCAAACTCCTCAACTGAAAAAAAAAAAAACCTCGCCTAAGAAGAACAGCACAACTTGAAGGACCTAAGACAAAAAGACATGGTCCCCATGTCTTATCGTCTATGGACTAACCAAGTGGCATGGGGCACATCATCTAACTTGTCTGAACTGCATTTTCTCAGGTATAGGTTAAGGGGCATGGTCTGTGGAACATGAGGTTTCCTTTCAGATTCAGGGTACTGTAATCTTCTGTAGTTATCTCAGGCAGTAAACCAGACAAGCCACAGTTATTGGGCTGGGCTGACCTATATCAAAGTTGGGGTGCAGCTTCTAGAACGAAGAACAAGGTATAAACAAAGGCGACAAGGCTGCCATCTCCAGCCCCCTTCCCTCTGCAACTTGCTGCCATGTCAGGGTGTCTCCTGGGCAGGCCTGATTATTCACTAAGTGGATGGAAGGTCTTGGGCATGTCACTCCACTTCTGACAGCCTCGACTTTCCACATCTGTGCAGAGGAGTTCATTCACCCATTCCCAGGAACGGGAGAAAAACACAATGATTAACTACTGTGACTCCCCTCTCACCAGGAGACACAGTGCACAACCTTTGTCCAAACATGGTCGACCATCAACCTCAGCTCACACTCTCATTCTGCAGCTCACCCTCTCTACAGCACAAGCCCCTGGAGCTAGAGGCTCAAAAACCCATTCCTCCTGCCCACTCCCACCTCTGTGACGGACAGACAAAAGGACCGAGGCTCAGAAAACACTCTTGACTTAGGTCAAAGACATCAGCAAAGCCTGGCCGAGAACACGGGGTGGCAGACACCAAGGGCTGCACAAGACACAGTGAGAACCCTTTGTAGGTTCCCGTCTCCCTAAAGAAATTCAGAACCCCTCTCTTGTATGACCGCATTCTGAAAAGTCGCTGAACTTTTTACTTCTGCATGGGAAGGGGGTGCACCAGAGAGTTGGTGTCATAGTGTGTGCATGGGATGAAAGAATGTCTTGAAGTGCCAATGAGATGAAAGAAAGGCAGAGTTTTGAGCCAGCAGCAGTTCCCAGCTGCTCCCCACACATATGCCCACATCTGCTCTTCTCAGTTCACCTGCTGAAACAGACATGTACACACTGGAAGCCTTTCAGGACAGGTAGGGAGGGGTTTCAGGCTGCGGCAACAATCTAACAACCCAAGAAAACCATCACAACTGTGCTATCCACAATATAAAAGGAATTGAGGCATTCTCTACCCTCTGACAGCCCAGCCTGAACAGCCAGAGAGTACTCCAAATTCATTCAGCCACATTGGTAACTCAGAGGTCAGGGACCTGAAGGATCTCGGCAAATAAGATAAAAATCTCTGAGTGCATTCAGCAAATGTCTGGAGAAATCTTACTCCATAGTCTGCTGGGGCAGAGCACTAAGGAGGGAGACAATATAAGGAAGGGTTTGCTTTAAAGGTGGCTCCTTGGCACACCAGCTCCCTCCCATCCTGGCTTGATTCCCCAAGCAAAGCCTTTATCTTTAGGGAGCATTGGACAGAAAGCTAGACCAAGAACAAGCCTGACCCCAGCTCCTCCAGGGCGCAGGGCCCTCCCAGTGTCTGCCAGAACCACGTGAACTTTGGCTAATAGACCCAGAAAGGGAGATCAGCCTTCCTGAGATCTCACTGCAGGCCAGCGGCAGCCACTGGCCAGAGCTCGTCCTGACCCCTAGCCTGGGGCTGTTTCTTCCCTCTACCCAGATGCATTCCCCTCCCTCCCAGGCCCACTCCCTCCTCCAGGTCCTTGGGCTCACCTCCTAGTTCTGAGGATCCTGCCAGGCTGAACAATGCTCAGAAGCAGATGGCTGTTAAAACAATTCACTGGGGGCATGTGAAGCCGTGCCCATCCCAGGTGGCAAGGAGAGGCTACAGCCCCGCAAAGGGGCTCTCTTTCATCTAGAGAACAACTCCTCCTCTTCCTCCTCCTCCCACTCCTCCTCCCCCTCCTAGGTCCTCCTCTGTAGTACTACTGGAACATGTGCTCTACTTGGGAGGGAGGCAGGAGGGAGTGTGGCTTTTATTGGAAAGCAAATGCCAACAGTGTGCAGAACTCTGCTGTATCTTCACACTTAGGAGAGGAGGAATGAGAGAGAGAGAGAGAGAGAGAGAGAGAGAGAGAGAGAGAGAGAGAGAGAGAGAATGAGAATGATGATTAACCCCTGTGTTCCAGCTCTGTTTCTCAGTGAAGCCAGAGAAACAATACACTTAACCAATGGAGTGCCGGCCCCAGGCATTACATCACCAGCGAGCCCCCTCATTGGCTAATAATTCCTAAAAGGCAAAATCCTATCTTTAGATGCTTAACCCCTTCCTACTTAGCAAATCAAAAAGAATTTGGCTTATACCAGTGTTTCCTAAACTCGTTTTCATCTGATTCCTCTGAAGAGCTTTCTAAACATGTAGTTTGTAGTACTATGCCTCAAATTATCTACACCACAACCTCCCGAGGGTGTGCGGCTATTTTAACAGTATAAAAAATAGAGGGCCCAGTGCACTTAGATCCCTTCCTTGCTAAGGGAAGTGATACTTCTCTGAGCACATATAACATACCCAACACTTACTGTCTCTTCTCATTCATGTCCTACCCCAGGCAGTGGACATTATTGGCCATCTTTCACAAGTAAGGTTCAGCCAGGCCTCCTGACTCAGGTCTGCTATTCCAGCTACTCGGGAGGCTGAGGCTGGAGGATCACAAGTTCAAGACTAGTTTGAGCTACAGAGTAAGTCCAAGACCAACCTCAGCAACAGAGTGAGGTTGTGTCTCTCCAAATAAGAAGTTTAAAAAGCGGGTTACAAATGGGCTTTACAACAGAGCAGCAGCCTACCCTGCATACGGCTCTGGGGTCAGTCACTTGCACTGGATAAAAGAGATCCTAAGTCACTTGCCCAAGAGCTGGGGGTCACTTTGAAGGCCAGGCTGTGGGTGCCTCATGAATTTCCCACTTTTTTTTTTTTTTTTTTTTGAGACCAGGTCTCACTGCATAGGCTTGGCTGTCCTAGAACTTGCCATGTCGACCAGGCTAGCCTTGAACTCACAGAGATCAACCTGCCTCTAGCTTGAGTGTAGGGATTAAAGGCATGCACCAGTATACCCAGCATGAAGTTCCCACTTAAAGTTAAACCAGGCCATTTGATTAGCAGTTTGCGTTTGTCTTGCGTGGTATGCAAGATTACAGAAAATATTGATACAGTTATTGAACGTGAGAAGAATTGAGGACTTTAGAGAGAAGTGAATTCTAAGACACGTGTATTCAGAGGCAGCCATCCATCCTGGAAATCACATTCTCTCTCAAGTTCATTCCTTCTGCTTCTACTGTAAAAACCTGAGCCTCATCCTCCTGTGCTCTAGGAAGCGCTCTCCTCCTGCCACACCTGGGAGAGAGGGCCTTGCTGGGTACTTCTCAGGTCCCTGTGTTTGGGAGTTGCACTTGCTTGTTTACTGAATAAGCTTGATGAGATTAGAGCTGTGTCTGCCTTTTCCACCCACACCTGCCCAGACCAGTGCCTGCCAGATATGAATACTCGGTCATGGCTGACAGGGAGAGAGGGACCAGTGGAAGAGGCTTTTGTTGGAGCTCTAAATGGCATCACGGTGTTGGAATGAGGAAGGCAGAGGGAGGGGAGCCTGAGAGACCCACAGGAGTTAACAGTCTAGTCTTGGGTATATGGATTGATGTGGGAGGTGTATTTTTGGACCACAGTATCTTCTTCATAGGGCAGCCATGGGCATCCCATGAAATAATGGCCCAGGATCTCATGCTTTCCTCCACACCCTTTGCCACAAGAACACACCTGCTTCATAATTGACATCTGAGAGCTGAAAACTGCCCTTTCCATGCCATCACTTGCTAGATCCAGACCCACACCAAACACATGTTCCTCGTGGATAAATGATGCATTTGGGTAGTCCAGCCCTACACAGTCTCTCCACTGTCAAAATGTCCATACCATCCACCTAATCATTTTACAAATTGAAGTGAATTTTACATAGTGCACAGCTAAGCTCTTTGAAGTGCATGGCTGAGTGGCATTTAGCACCTTCACACTGTAGACAACCACTCTCTCTGTCTCATTCTAAGGTCTCACCATTGCTCCAAAGGGAACCATTTAGCTATCTGCTCTCAGGCCCCACTCCTGCTTCTCCTCAGCCTGTGACAAATGCTGATTCCTTCCAGGATTTACATATATGGGTAATGGCATTGTACAGCATTTGGCTTTTTATGACCACATTCTGTGTGTGTGCAAGCATCTGTTTGTACACTCGCCCACTAGCGCACGTACAGAGGCCATAGGTCAACGGAGCAATGTCTTTCTCTATGACTTCCCACCTTATTTTTTGAGACAGGCCCTCACTGAGCCTGAAGCTCATTGTTTCTGATAGGCTGCCTAGCCAGCAAGCTCCTGGTCTTTACCCGCTAGTGCTGGGTTACAGGTGCATGCCACCACACTCAGCCATTTTACATGGGTGTAGGAGACCTCCTCAGCTCCTCACGCTTATACAGAGACCACCTCACCCACCAAGCCATATCCCCAGCCCTATGTCTGTCCTCATTTATTTATATTTTTGTAACTTTTACAAGGTCCATTCATAGTGTGGCATGCATTATTAGTACTTTGGTTGTTTCATGACTAATAGTTTATTGTGTGCACATGTCACATTTTGTTCATCCATTCACCCTGTGATAGACATCATTCATCCATTCAATCCTAAACCATAAGCCTGACACTCACCTCTGACTCTTCTCTTTTCTGTACACCTCCAATCTAGTGTAGCCCCAAATCCTATCCATTCTGTGCCCAAAATACAGTTCAAATCTGTTTGCTCTTTCCCTCAGCTTACACAAGACATCCGTATCTCACTCACCTAACTTCTAGCTGGTGTCAGTACTTCATTATCCTCTCTAGTAGTAGCTCCTGGGACATTTTTTAAACATAAGCTAGGTCATCTATTCATTTTACTATAGTAACTGGGCCCCTTTCTTTACAGAGTTTGCCTTACCTCTTTGAGGCAAGGCAAAAAAAAAAAAAAATCAACAACCACATAGCATTATATCAGGTCATTACTCAGGTTTAAACCCCTCACTGACTTCACTGCACTTTGGGTAAAATCTGAGCTCAGCATGCCTCCAAGGCTTAGCAACTTCAAATGCATCTCAAGTGGCTTGAAGCACCCCTTGAGTTATGTTTCCGCCACATTGGGCTGCGTTCCTCCACTTCATGGTCCCTAGGCAAGCTATTCTTTCTGCTTCCTGATCTTAGCATTTCTGAGTACTGGGTATCAACATAAATAGTACACACACACACACACACACACATACACACACACACACACACACACACACACACACACACACACACACACACACACACAGAGTGACCTTCCATGGTGATCCTGTGAAGCAAATCCACCATTCATTTTATTCTTCAAGAAATGTGCGCTGGGATGCGGGCATAGCTCAGTGGTAGGGTGTGTGGTTAGCATGGATGAATCCCTGGGTTCAGTCTTCATACCCCCAACTATCCACACATACATGTAATGTAGATATACATGCTTAACACAGCTGGGCCCTGGGATAAAACATCTTTCTGTTCCCTGCAGCCTGTGGTGTAGTGATGAAGGCCAACACAGGGAAGAGAATAAAAATTAAAAGTGCTGTTAAGGGAGAGGAAAGGGCAGGTATCTGCTTCACATAAGACAGTCTTTCCAAGAAGGCTGCACTGAACTACAAAGCATGAAGAATCACTCAAGCAAAGAGCCCGATTTTCCTCTCTCATCTCCTGACTGTACAAAGCTGTGGTCTGGCATTCAACATTTTCTTTTGAAGGGTTCAAGTATGCAATGCCTATCCCCCCTCTCCCTCAGCAGACAGAGCTGTACCTCCCTGCCTGGGATAGCCCCTGCTGTGTGGAAGGCTCTCCAAACAGACTGATTGGAGTCCTAAGTGGTTGAATCAATAGTGACTCATCAATGAAAGCGTTTCCTGAAGTTTAACGAGTGACATGCTGTGACAGATACTGTCACTGTTATCCTAATAGGGACTCTATTAGGCTTGAGAAACACTGAGATGACTGAAAATCGAGAATGAAAGTGTGTAACTTTGGGTACTGTGGGACAACCAGGAGAGGATACACATACAAAGCAAGCACTCAGCAGGAGTCCACAGTCACTGGGGACACTGCGATACTAGCAGAGGTGCCTCATAGTAATAAAAACTCAAGCCCAACATTTACTTTCACAGGCAGTAAAGAAAGTCAAACGTCAGAGCCACACTTTCTAAGTGACCTCTATGTATAAGGCTGGCCCAAAGCCATCGAGTGACACAGAGAATCGATGCCCTGGGGAAAGTCTCATGGTCTCCTCCAAGACCAAGATGCTTGTTACTCCCTAATTTCCAGCAGCCAAGGGTGTTAACTGCTCATAGCTCACGTGTAAGCCCCTATTTAGAAACTCTTTGGTGAAAGGAGCACTAAAGCTGTGCTCCCTTCTTGGGAGCACTCTGCACCCACTGGCTGGTCAGTCAAAAGCCTCAGTGGATGGCCTGAGCCCCCCATTTCTCCTTCATCCAGTCTGCCTGTGCCTGGTTCTATTACCCGAGCTGTGTACCCACTCAACAGTAAAGCAACTTCTCAAGGACTCAAGGACCCTTCTACACAGAAATCTTAGCATCTGTTCCTGGTCCACTCCTGTTGCTGTGATAAAATCACAAAGCAACTTAGGGAAGAAAGGGTTTATTTTAGCTCATAAGTCCAGACTACAGCCCATTTTGGGGGGCACGTCAAGGTGGCAGGAGCTTAAGGGAGCTAGTCAAGCCACAGGCAAGGCAGAGAAAGAATAAATGCATGCCTACTGTTCAGTTCAATTCTGCCACACTTTACACAGTCCAGAACTGGATCCCAGAGAAGAGCACTGCCCACCATGGGATGAGTCTGCCCATCAACCTACTTACTGATAAAGACAATACCCGACAGACATGCTCACAGGCCAATCAGATCTAGACAATCAATCCTTCATTGAGACTTTCTTTCCAGGTAA